ACTGTCCCAAACAAATGGAAACTGACCTGAAAGGGAGCCCCAGTTGCTTTTCTCACTAGAGCAGGGGAGACATCAAACCCAAGTTAGGTTGATGAGCTGAAGACCATTACCCTATGCTGACAGACAGCGAGCCAGCACACAGATGCCTATTGCTGCCCCGGTTTCATGAACTAGTACTACTGGATGCCATGGACCATAAGTCCAGGCCAAGTTAGAATGTTGGCTTAAGATTCCCTCTCATCAAGTGATAGGCTGCCGAGCCCAAAGTCAGCAATAAGACTTAAGGATCAAATGAAGGAACAAGTTTACAAATTCAAGAATCAAAACCATACCACAACTTTCCAGAACCTCTGGGATGAAGCAAAGGCTTCTCAGGGAATTTACAACTGTGCGGGCCTGGCATGAAAACAGTCAGATATCTCAAATGCAATCAACGATGAAGCACAGTCTAAAAGCAAACCCAGAACAGTGGATAGAAAGATAACCATAAGGTCTGGGAAGGTGACTAGGTGGTAGAGCACTTGCCTTGTATGCTTGAGGCCCTGGGTTGAATTCCTCAGCACCACATAAGCAGGAAAAAAAAAGCCGGAAATGGCACTGCGGCTCAAGTGGTAGAGTGCTAGCCTTGAGCTGAAGAGATGAGGGACAATGCCCAGGCCCAGAGTTCAGGCCCCATGACTAGACCCCTCCTCAGAAAAGAAAGATAATCATAAAAATCAGCATAGAGCCACCAGGCACTGATGGCTGCTCACCACTAATCAGAGCTACTCCAGAAGCTCAGATCTTAGGATTGTGGTTCAAAGGCAGCAGAAATATTCATGATGCTTTTTATCAATAAACTAATTGAGTTGTGGCTCAAGTGGTAGCACACTAGCCTGGAGCTGAAGAAGCTTAGCAACAGTGCCCAGGCCCTGATTTCAAGCCCTAGGACAGGCACACACATAAACACACACACACACACAAAAATCAGGGTAAAAATGAAAAAAATGGAGTTTAAAAGAACAATGTAAAAAAATCCGTGAAAGAAGCTGAGCGCTGGTGTTTCATGCCTGTAATCCTAGCTACTCTGGAGGCTGAGATCTGAGGATCATGGTTCAAAGCCAGCCCAGGCAGGAAAGTCCATGTGACTCATCTCCAATAAACCACCAGAAAACTGGAAGTGGCAACTGTGGCTCAAGTGATAGCGTATTTGCCTTGGGCTAAAGAGCTGAGGGACAGTGCTCAGGCCCAGAATTCCAGCCTCAGGACTGACAAAAAAAAAATCAAGGAAGGTAAGAACTTTCCTTGGTAAGATAGCTAAGACTGACAAGCCTTCATCCAACAACAGTGAAGACATCAACTAAGAAAACTAGAATGTCATAACAGTTTAAATTCCAGTTGTCACTGAGAAGTATATTAGAAACTTAATCCAATACATTAGAAAATATACAAGAAATGGATTCACTTCTTTGCATGTTGGACCCATCAGGTTTAATCCAAGATGATTTTAGTCACCTAACTATATCTGTAATCAAGCAGTAAATAGATTCACTAACAGGTTCCACCAGATGTTCAGTTACCACCAATACTCCTCAGACAGGTTCAAAAATGAGGAAAGGAAGAAGGCTACCAAACTCCCTCTCATACCAAAATGAGAACAGACTAGAGACAAGATTAGACACCTACTTCCTTGAAGAGCACAGATGTAAAACATTTCATAACATACCTGCAAGTAATTTCAACAATGCATTGAAAGATCATGCACCATGCCCACATTACATTCCACCCAAAATTGCAAGTGTGGCTCAACCAGTCAGGGATAATTTGTAGAGTAAGACCCTGGACACCTGTGACTTGCACCTGTCATCCTAGCGACTGAGGCTGAGATCTGAGGATCACAGTTCAAAGCCAGCCTGGGCAGAAAAGTCCAGCAGACTCTTCAATTCCCTACCAGAAAACTGGAAGTGGCACTAAGCTCCAAGTGGTAGAGTGCTAGCCATGAGTAAAAGAACTCAGGGACAGCACCCAGGTTCTGACTTCAAGCCCCACTACTGATTTCCAGCTGCTCCCCTCCCCCTAAAAAAGTCATTATAACAATGATCCACCTGCTTTAAAGGTTTCTCCACCACGGCTCTATCAGCTGTAAGAAGTGAGTAGTTATGGATTTTAATGAAGTAGAAACAATGGGAAGGTAGATACAGTCTGGTAGGGACCTGACAAGGCAAGGTGTGTGCAGTGTGCAATAGTGGCCACCATCACGCCAGGACTCGGGTGTGACCCAAGAACAGAAGTCACATGGCGCCTGTGCTAGGAATCAGTCAATGGTTACTCCCAGATCTGACCTGGCATGAGCGCTTCCCCCCAAACCCTCCTCAGGACAGGACTTTCTTGGCCCTTCGGGATTCCGCTGCTTTGATCCCAATGGCAGCACTTCTCCAGGCTGATTGTTTTGCGAGGGTGGCGACCACAGTGTGGCCTGCTCTACCAGCAGGAGGTGCACAAGAGGTGGGGCCAGAGCCCTCAAGCTAAGGGTGCAATGTGGGGGGGGGAGCTGAACTCCCAGCCAGTTCACAGGCTGAGTCACACCTTTGTGTCACAACCCATTTTTCTGGAAGGCTTTGTCAGGAGCTACAACTCATCCCCAGGAGTGAGAGGTGAGCGTGTCTCATCCCTCCTTCATATTGAGCATAATCACCAGGGTGCTGCTTTGAATGAAGCCAAGTCAGGAGCTGGCTGTGAGCTCTGGCTGGCAGGTGTGCGGCGGGGGAGAAGAAGTCAGGGGTCCAGCCATCGCATGGCAAGGACACAGGGGACAGGAAAGGGATTGGTACAAGATGGTGGCACAGAACCGAGGGTGCTCAGGAAGAAAGGAGGAGACAGAGATGGAGAGAGATGTCCTGAATGTGTGAACTCTCCAGAAGTAACGAGTCCAGGCAGGGCTGCATGTCAGCATGACGTCGGGAGGCTGTGCTTCCAGTGGACTGCAGGGCTGAATGGGATGCAGAGCCTAACCATGAGCTGAAGAGCTGAGGAACAGCGCCTACGCCCAGAGTTCAAGCCCCACGACCGACCAAAAATAAAAAAGAGGAAAAGCACATGGAGCGTTGTGTGGTGGTGGGTGTGTGTGAGGTGGGTGGAGGGTGGGGTGCTCCTGGGGAGCCGGCGCTCAGAAGGGGTGGGGTGGGGGCAGGGAAAGCCTCAGAAGGCAGGAAGCTGGTGGAGGACGCGCTGCCCCGAGGTCAGGAGGCTAAGTCCACATTCACGCTCTCCATGATGATACAGATGGGGAGGACCTCTGAGCATGGGAACACCAGGGGTCAGGAGAGGACCAGGTGTGTGTGAGGTTAATGATGACACCAGACAGTTCCCCAAGGAGACCAGAGCATGCCTGTGCTGGGTGGAATGACTTTGGGCTGGATTAAGGGCATAGGGCAGGTACAGAATCTGGCTAAATCCAGTGTGCGGGGAGGGAGTGCAGGGACGGCAGGGCCTGTGGTTCAAGCCTTTCTGTGGTGGGGTGGCTGTGGGAACTTCAGGATCAGGAGGAGGTGCCTGGCTCAGAGCCCACAGTCCACTCAACACCCGGCATACAGTCCCTGGATGGCTCCTGGAGGCAGGCCTGCCATCTGCTTGCTTTCCTTTTCTGTGCAGGTCCCAGGACTTGAAATCAGGGCCTGGGTCCTTCCCTGAGCTTTTGTGCTCAGGGCTGGTGACTGTCCCTGGCAAATCAGTGCTACTTCTGGCTTGCTGTCACCCTGATACTCATTCCCGAGAAGAAAAGGGTGGAGGTGGAGAGCCCTAGACTGGAGGGCCTTGCGTGTCATTCAGCACAGCAGCCCTCACCGGCACTCCAGAGGCTGTGGTAACATGACCTCATAACAAGGGACATGAGGAGCACTGCAGGAAATGTCACAATAGACAAGCAAGGGACTGTCTTAAGGAGCCTTCATGTTGTAAAAACAACTTTACATTTAAAAATGTGCTTTTCAAAAGTACACTTAATGTCCTTGTTGAATTAGCAGAGAGTCTAGAGATATGTAACATAGACTGCCAAGGAAAATAAAGAGTTGTGAAAATAAATTATGTGCAAGAAATAAGCACGGACAAGACTAAGGGAGTATCTGTCAGGAAGGAGCCTTGATGTTTGTGGTCAGTGCTACACCAGCAGGACTCCCTCCCTCCCTTCCTTCCTTCCTTCCTTCCTTCTTCTTTCTTTCCTTTCTACCTACCTTACTTCCTTACTTTCTTCCTTCCTTCCTTCCTTCTTTGCTGGCTTACCATCTCTCTTCTCTGTCTGTCTGTCTGTCTGTCTGTCTGTCTGTCTGTCTGTCTATGTCCCTCATTCTCTCTTTCCATCTTTGTGCCAGTCCTGGGGCTTGAACTCTGGGCCTCTGTTCTATCCCTGGGACCATTTGGCTCAAGACTAGCGCTTTACCACTTCAGCCACAACACCACCTACATTTTTTTTAGTGGTTTATTGGAGATGACAGTCTCAGAGACTTTTTTACCTAGACTGGCTTTGAACTGTGATCCTTAGATCCCACCTGCTCAGGAACTCAGAACACAGACATCAACCACCACCACCCAGGTGCTATTTTCTTTCCAACTACTTTCTTCTCCAGAACAGAAAGGGCTTTAAGAATGATTTGCTTCTTTGCATAGGTAACTATTAAAGAAAGAAAAAAAATCAAAAGACTCAAAATGGCATTAGGAAAACATGTTAGGTGAGTTTAACCAGTTTATCTTGAACTTGACACCACCACCAGGTAATGGGACAGATTCTCTGGAAGAAGTTGACATGATCTAATAAGCACTATTTCAAAATCTAACATTTCCACTTTCATATAATTTTGTGGGCCAGCAAAATAGAGACAGATGAACACACACACAGATATATAGCACACAAATGCGCAGGTGTGGACATGTGTGCACACCTCTATCTCAGCAGATGACTTTTATCTAGGTGTGGAGATTGTTGAAGGGCCAAGCAAAGTTCAGCAGAGATGCAAGCTTGGTGGTCCTCAGGGGAGGACCACTTTCTTCTTCTTTGTGCAGGTGAAGAGGAGGCTGCAGGGAGTGGAGTGTCCGCTCATGAGTAGGAAAGGGCTGAGGGCTGGGAAACAGCCCATAGCAAATGCCGCCATATGGTGCAACACAGGGCTGGGGTTGTAAATCACAGACAAGCAAATCTGACAGATGCAGGACACAGTGTAAAAGGAGACAAAGGCGCTCACCAGGAGGAGGATGCTTATGGTAGCTCTGGACTCGGGAGAGGCTCTGGTGGAGACACTGGTCCTCTGGATGTGTCGCATTCTCTGCTTGTGCCTGTACAGGACTAAGAGCATGGAGGTGCTAGCCCAGAGCATGAGCCCCAAACATAGAACATCAGGCACTGAGAGCATGGTCACATAAAGCACATCAGCAGCTGGATCGTGACGCACGGAAGAACAGTATCCATAGGCCTTTAAGATCGTCATGTTGTCGTGCTCTTTGGGTCCGGTCATGTGCATGGGAAAAACAATATTCACCAGGAGGAAGACCCCCCAACTGAGGTAGACGGTGGAAACAATGTGCTTGTGGGCTCTCCCCTTCAGCCCTGCCCACTTGGAGTCCCCCTGGCTGATGCTCACAGCCTGGAAGATGCTGAGGGAGCAAGTGCTACCTATCGCCACCCCCCTGCCCACTCGGTAAAGATAGAAGACCATTTTGCACCCCACATCATTGAAGAAATTTCTCCAGCCCCAAGCCACCATGGTTTGGGGAACACTCCTACACAGAAGACTTAGGAAGTTGGCTACAATTAAGTGCCTAAGAATCAAGTCTGTGGCTCACATCCTGTTCCCCATGCAGGAAAGGAATAGATAATGGGAGAGAAGAGACAAATTACCCACAAACCCAACCACAGTCTGGCCTAAGAGGATCACCCCCATAGACACATGGGTATCTCCCATCCTCTCTGTTCCTTGAGTCTCATCCAGAGGCTCTGGCTTAGGAAACTGAGGCCTGCATGGTGCCAAGGGAACTCAACATTCTCCATCCAGCATTCAGACTACCGGAAATACTTTCCTACTGTCTCTTATGTATTAGGAAAAATCCAATCCTATTCATCCATTGGGAAGAGGAAGATGGCATGTACAGGGAAATGGGTGAACCTGGAGAAATGGCATTAAGTGAAGGTGAGTCAGGTTCTGAGATGAAGGCGGCTACATTTCTCCTCTGTAGAATCAGATCTAAGATTCTAAACTAGCAAGGCTCTAGTGGCTCAAGACTGTAATCCTAGCTACTCAGGGGCTGAGACCTTGAATTTCCAATTCAAAGCCAGCCCAGAGAAGGAAAGTCTGTGAGACTCTTCTCTCCAGTTAAGCACCAGCAAATCAGAAGTAGACCTGTGGCTCAAAGTGGTACAGGCCTAGCCTTGAGCAAAAAGGGCTCAAGGAACATGGGCAAGCCCTGAGTTCAAGCTCTCTGACTGACTAAAGAAAGGAACTTGAAACATTCGTGACACATTCCTGGGGTCACTTGCACTTAAACCTCAATACACTGGCTGCAGGAGTGGGTCCCAGGTGTCACCCTTTCCTCAACATGGAGCCCACATTTCACAGAAGAAATACCAGGAAGATGAACTAGGTCTGTGGTGGGGATGGTGCGGGTGAAGGAGGAGGTTGATGACAGAGACAGAGAGGGGGCAATTTTAGGTTCAAATGCCATTCTAGAGTCGCTGATGTGAACACATCTTTCCCAGCCCCTGGACAATCAGGATTCCTTCTCACTTGTCATAAACCAGAGCAGACTCTGTGAGGGAGATGAAAGTTAGGAACCAACAGGGCTTGGGGGTGAGGGGCCTAGAACCCCAGTTCTTTTCACTGTTCTAGTCCATTCCTATCCTACCCTGTTTCTTTGTCGTGCAACCGGTTTCAATCTGGAATCCCTGCCCCTAAGGTGATCACTTACTCAGAGTGTGGAACCTGGGGGTCTCTCCTACAGGCTGCGCCTCTCCAGTGGCAATGAACACAAGTGCTCGCCTCTTCTCTCAGGATGTGCGTGGCAGGGCGGGTCGTTTCTGAGACAAACATGGGAACTTCAGAGCTTCAGAGGGCTACTTAGATAGGGGTCCAGGAGGGCGGCAGCTGTGGTCGTCTCCTGCGGGAGCGGTGATTTTCCCTTCACCTGGGGTGGCAAGCCAAGTTCTCAGTAAACTTTTTCTTTTCCCCCATGTGACAATTATAAAGACACTTTCCACTCTCATGTGGGTGCTTCTCCAGGGGATAGGGGAATGGTGCAGTCACTTACCTCTCCTGGATCCCAATAGGCTGGCAGGAGACACTGAGATCTGAAGCGAGATGACTGTAAACAACCTCAGTGGTGTGTAAGCCATGTGTCCCCAAAGTTTCTTATCCAAAGTGTCCCTTCCCTTTTTATTCCAGTTCTGAGACTTGAACTCAGGGCTTGGGCACTGTTCCTGAGCTGCTTTTGCTCAAGGCTAGCACTCTACCATTGGTGCCACAGCACCACTTCTGGCTTTTTCTATGTATGTGCTGCTGAGGAATTGAACCCAGGGCTTCATGCATGATAGGAAAGCACTCTACCACTGAGCCACCTTAGCAGCCCTCCTCATCTCAGTCTCCTTTTGTTTTATCATCACATATGCTGTTAGAAAAGAAAAATGGAACCCTGTACTGATGCAATCTCAGGAACCTGATATCAGAGAATCAAAGTTCAAAGCCACCCTGGTGAAGAATCTGTATACACCTGTCTGTATACACCAGATCTGTATACACCTGTCTGAACTGTAAAGCAGTGTCCTGGCTCTACCATGTGCCTGTCAGCCAGGAGGGAGAGCTGGCCCGGCCCAGTTATAAACCAACACTGCATAGAGATGACACTTCACCAGCCAAGACTGAAAACTGAAAGTTCAGGGTGGAAAACTGTCCCAAGCAAATGGGAACAGACCTGAAATGGAGCCCCAGTTGCTTGTCCCACGAGAGCAGGGGAGACATCAAACCCAAGTTAGGTTGATGAGATAAAGACCGTTAACTTCTGCTGACAAACAGCGAGCCAGCAAACAGATGCCTACTGCTGCCCTGGTTTCATGAACTAGTACTACTGGATGCCATGGACCGGTACGTCCAGACCAAGTTAGAATGTTGGCTTAAGACACCCTCTCATCAAGAGATAGGCTGCCGAGCCCAAAGTCAGCCATAAGACTTAAGGATCAAATGAAGGAACAAGTTTACAAATTCAAGAATCAAAACCATACCACAACTTTCCAGAACCACTTGGATGAAGAAAAAGCTTCTCTGAGGGAATTTACAGCTGTGTGGGCCTGCCAGGAAAAAAGTCAGGTGTCTCAAATGCAATCAACAATGAAGCACAGTCTAAAAACAAACCCAGAACAGTGGATACAAAGAGAATCATAAAAATCAGGATAGAGCCAGCCAGGAACTGATGACTGCTCACCACTAATCAGAGCTACATAACAAGCTCAGGTCTGAGGATTGTGGTTCAAAGGCATCAGAAAACTCCATGAGGCTCATTTTCAATAAACTATCCCCAGAATGTACAAAGCAGAGCTGTGGCTCAAGTGGTAGCGCACTAGCCTGGAGCGAAAGAAGATTAGCAACAGTGCCCAGGCCCTGAGTTCAAGCCAAAGGACAGGCACACACATACACACACACACACACACACACACACACACACACACACACACACACACACACACAAATCAGGGTAAAAATGAAAGAAATGGAGATTAAAATAACAATGTAAAAAAAAAATCAGTGAAAGAAGCTGAGCTCTGGTGGCTCACGCCTGTATTCCTAGCTACTCAGAAGGCTGAGATCTGAGGATCATGGTTCAAAGCCAGCTATTTCAGCAAAGTCCATAAGACTCATCTCCAATCAACCACCAGAAAACTGGAAGTGGCGACTGTGGCTCAAGTGATAGAGTGCACACCTTAAGCTGAAGAGCTGAGGGACAGTGCACAGGACCAAAATTCAAGCCTCAGGACTGACAAAAAAAAATCAGTGAAGGTAAGAACTTTCTTTGGGAAGATAGCTAAGACTGACAAGCCTTCAGCCAAGAACAGGGAAGACATCAACTAAGAAAACTAGAATATCATAACAGTTAAAATTCAAGTTGTCACTGAAATATAGTAGAAAATTAATCCAACACATTAGTAAACATACAAGAAATGGATTCACCTCTTTGCACGTTGGACCCATCAGGTTTGATCCAAGATGATTTTAGTCACCTAACTTCATCTTTAATCAAGCAGTAAATAGAGTCACTGATGGGTTACACCAGGTGTTCAGAGTTACCACCAATGCCTCTCAGACAGGTTCAAAAACTAGCAAAGGAAGAATGCTAATAAACTCCCTCTCATATCAAAATGAGAACAGACTAGAGACAGGATTAGACACCTATTTCCTTGAAGAGCACAGAAGTAAAATATTTAATATAACATATCTGCAAGAAATTTCAACAATGCATTTAAAGATCATGCACCATGCCCACGTTGCATTCCACCCAAAACTGCAAGTGTGGCTCAACCAGTCCTGGATAATTTGAAGAGTAAGTCCCTGGACACCTGTGGCTCGCACCTGTCAACTTAGAGACTGAGGCTGAGATCTGAGGATCACAGTTCAAAGCCAGCCTGGGCAGAAAAGTCCAGCAGATTCTTGAGTTCCCTACCAGAAAACTGGAAGTGGCACTAAGCTCCAAGTGGTAGAGCACTAGCCATGAGTAAAAGAGCTCAGGGACATCAACCAGGTCCTGAGTTCAAGCCCCACAACTGATTTCCCACCCACACCCGCCAAAAATTCATTATAACAAGGATCCATCTGCTTTAAAGCTTTCTCTGCCAAGGCACTATCAGCTGTAAGAAGTGAGTAGTTAGGGATTTTAATGAAGTAGAAACAATGGGAAGGTAGATACAGTCCGGCAGGGACCTGACAAGGCAAGGTGTGTGCAGTGTACAATAGTGGCCACCATCATGCCAGGACTCAGGTGTGACCCAGGAACAGAAGTCAGATGGCGCCTGTCCTAGGGGTCAGTCAATGGTTACTCCCATATCTGAACTAACATGAGCACTTCCCTCCAAAACCTCCCCGGGACTTTCTTGGCCCTTCTGAATTCCTCTGTTTTCATCACAATGGCAGCCATTGGCCAGGGTGGTTGTTTTGTGAGGATGGCAAACAGTGTGGCCTGCTCTACCAGCAGGAGGTGCACAAGGGATGGGACCAGAGCCCCCAAGCTAAGGGTGCAGGGAGTGAGGGAGAGCTGACCTCCCAGCTGGTTCACGGGCTGACCCATTTTTCCTGGAAGGCTTTGTCAGGAGCTTCAACTCATCCCCAGGAGTGAGAGGTGAGCATGTCTCATCCCTCCTGGATATTGAGCATAGTCACCAGGTGCTGCTGTGAATGAAGCCAAGTCAGGAGCTGGCTGTGAGCTCTGGCTGGCAGGTGTGCAGCAGGGAAGCATGAGTTGGGTGGCCGGCCACTGTGTGGCAAGGACACAGGGAACAGGAAAGGGATTCATACAAGATAGTGGCGTAGAACTGAGGGTGCTCAAGAAGAAAGGAGACAGAGATGGAGGAAGACAACCTGAATGTGCGATCTCTTCAGAAGTAACAAGTCCAGGCAGGGCTGCATGTCAGCATGACGATGCGCAGCTGTACTTCCAGCGGACTGCAGGGATGCATGGGATGCAGAGCCTAAGCTTGAGCTGAAGAGCTCAGGGACAGTGCCTAGGGCCAGAGTTCAAGCCCCAGGGAGGACCAAAAAAAAAAAAAAAGGAAAAGTGGGAGGAGCATTGCTGAGAGCTGTGGGGTAGGGGAAGCATGGGGCGTGGGTTGTATTGGATTTGGATCCTGCTCAAGACAGAAGGTGAGGTCAGTAGAGGGTGGGGTGCTCCTGGGGAGCGAGTGCTGACAGGGGGTAGAATGGGGACAGGGAAAGCCTGTGTCCCCTCACAAGGCAGGGAGCTGGTGGAGGACACACGCTGCCCCTAGGTCAGGAGACTAAGTCCACATCCACACTCTGCAAGGTGACACAGACGGGGAAGACCTCTGGGGATGGGAACACCAGGGTCAGGAGAGGACCAGGTGTGTGTGAGGTTAATGATGACACCAGACAGCTCCCCAAGGAGACCAGAGCATGCCTGTGCTGGGTGGAATGACTTTGGGCTGGATTAAGGGCATGGGGCAGGTAGGGAATCTGGCTAAAGCGAGTGTGGGGGGAGGGAGTGCAGGAACGGCAGGGCCTGTGGTTCAAGCCTTTCTGTGGTGGGGTGGCTGTGGGAACTTCAGGATCAGGAGGAGGCGCCTGGCTCAGAGCCCAGAGTCCACTCAGCACCGGGCATAGTCCCTGGCTGACTCCTGGTGGCAGGCCTGCCATCTGCTTGCTTTCCTTTTCTGTGCTGGTCCCAGGATTTGAACTCAGGACCTGTGTCCTATCCCTGAGCTTTTGTTCTCAGGGCTGATGACTGTCCCCGGGACATCAGTGCTACTTCTGGCTTGCTGTCACCTTTCAATTCATTCCTGAGAAGAAAAGGGAGGAGGTGGAGAGCCCTGGACAGGAGACCCCTCCTCACATTCAGTACAGCAGCCCTGACCTGCAACCCAGAGGCTGTGGTAAAGGGACCTCATAACAAGGGACATGAGGAGCACTGCAGGAAATGTCACAATAGCCAAGCAAGGGACTTTCTCAAGGAGCCTTCGTGTTTTAAAAACAACTTTATATTAACAAAGGTGCTTTTCAGAAGTACACTTAAGGTACTTGTTGAATTAGCAGAGTCTAGAGATATGTAACATAGACTGCCAAGAAAAAGAAAGAGTTGTGAAAATAAATTATGTGTAAGAAATAAGCAAGGACAAGACTAATGGAGTAACTGCCAGGAAGGAGTCTTGATGTTTGTGGTTAGTGCTACACCAGCAGGACTTCCTTCCTTCCTTCCTTCCTTCCTTCCTTCCTTCCTTCCTTCCTTTCTTCCTTCCTTCCTTGTTTCTTCCTTCCTTCCTTCCTTCCTTCCTTCCTTCCTTCCTTCCTTCCTTCCTTCTTTGCTGGCTTGCCCTCTCTCTTCTCTGTCTGTCTCTGTCTGTGTGTCTGTGTCCCTCATTCTCTCTTTCCTTCTTTGTGCCAGGCCTGGGGCTTGAAATTTGGGCCTCCATTCTGTCCCTGGGAAATTTGACTCAAGGCTAGTGCTCTACCACTTCAGCCACAGCACCACCTCCATGTTTGTTTGCAGGGTTTTTTGGTGGTTTATTGGAGATGAGAGTCTCAGAGAGTTTTTACCTAGACTGGCTTTGAAATGTGATCCTTTGATCTCGCCTCCTCATGAACTCAGAACACAGGTATTAATCACCACACCCAGCTGCTATTTCCTTTACTTTATTTTTTTTTATTGTGAGAATACCCTACAGAGGAGTTACAATTATATGGGCAAGATAACGAGTACGTTTCTTATCAAGTATTGTTGCCTCCACTTTGTTTCTCATTCCTATCTGTTCCCATACTCCAGCCCTCCCCCAACCTGATTCCCCCCACACACACCAAAGTTGTAAAGTTCATTTTTTGACATAACGACTGTACATCTCATTGTTGCAATGGGTCCACCTGTATCCCTAGTTAAACAAGTTTTTTTTTCCCTTCCACTCCACAAAATATACCAACATCAAATACAGTGAAAGCATGGGTTATACTATGGGGGAAGGACATACAAAGCAACATAGAAATCATCTTATAAATATGATAGAAACAATTGCCACGTGCTATTTTCTTTCCAACTACTTTCTTCTCCAGAACAGAATGGGCTTTAAGAATTATTTGTTTCGTTGCATAGGAAACTATTAAGAAAGAAAAAAAAATCAAAAGACTCAAAATGGAATTAGGAAAACATGTAAAGTGAGTTTAACCAGTTTATCTTGAATTTGATACAACTACCATTTAATGGGGCAGATTCTCTGGAAGAAGTTGACATGAACTAATAAGCATTAGATCAAAATCTAACATTTCCACTTTCATATAATTTTGTGGGCCAGCACAATAGAGAGAGATGAACACACACACAGACATATAGCACACAAATGTGCAGATGTGGACCTGTGTGCACACTTCTATCTCTCAGCAGATGACTTTTATCTAGGTATGGAGATTGTTGAATGGACAAGCAAAGTTCAGCAGAGATGCAAGCTTGGTGGTCCTCAGGGCAGGACCACTTTCTTCTTCTTTGTGCAGGTGAAGAGGAGGCTGCAGGGAGTGGAATGTCTGCTCATGAGCAGAAAAGGGCTGAGGGATGGGAAACAGCCTGTAGCAAACACCGAGATATGGTGCAGCACTGGGCTGGGGTTGTAAATCACAGACAAGCAAATCTGACAGATGCAGGACATGGTATAACAGGAGACAAAGGCGCTCAACAGGAAGAGGATGATTATGGTAGCTCTGGACTCGAGAGAGGCTCTGGTGGAGACGCTGATCCTCTGGATGTGTCTCATTCTCTGCTTGTGTCTGTACAGGATAAAAAGCATGGAGGTGCTGGCCCAGAGCATGAGACCCAGACATAGAACATCAGGCAACGAGAGCATGGCCATATACAGCACATCAGCAGCTGGGTCCTGACGCACAGAAGAACAGTATCCATAGGCCTTAAAGCTCGTCATGTCTTCGTATGCTTTGGGTCCGGTCATGAACTTGATATTAACAATGCTTACCAGGAGGAAAACCCCCCAGCTGAGGTAGACGGTGGGGACAATGTGCTTGTGGGCTCTCCCCTTCACTCCTGCCCACCTGGAGTGCCCCTGACTGATGCTGAGTGCAAGGAAGATGCTCAGCGAGCAAGTGCTAACAATCGACACCCCCCTGCCCACTTGGTGAAGATAGAAGACCATTTTGCACCCCACATCATTGAAGAAATTTCTCCAGCCCCAAGCCACCATGGTTTGGGGAACACCCCTACACAGAAGACTTAGGAAGTTGGCCACAATTAAGTGCCTAAGAATCAAGTCTGTGGCTCTCATCCTGTTCCCCATGCAGGAAAGGAATAGACAGTGGGAGAGAAGAGACAAATTACCTACAAACCAAACCACAGTCTGGGCTAAGAGGGTCACCCCCATAAACACATGAGCATCTCCCATCCTCTCTGTTCCTTGAGTCTCATTCAGAGGCCCTGGCTTGGGAAACTGAGGCCTGCATGGTGCCAAGGGAACACAATATTTTCCTTCCAACATTCACACCACTGGAAATAATCTCCTACTGTCTCTCATGTATTAGGAAAAATCCAATTCTATTCATCCATCGGGAAGAGGAAGATGGCATGTCCAGAGAAATGGGTGAACCTGGAGAAATAGCATTAAGGGAAGGTGAGTCAGGTTCTGAGGTGAAGGCGGCTGCATTTCTCCTCTGTAGAATCAGATCTAAGATTCTAAACAAGCAAGGCCCTAGTGGTTCAAGACTGTAATCCTAGCTACTCAGGGGCTGAGACCTTGGATTCCCAATTCAAAGCCACCCATAGAAGGAAAGTCTGTGAGACTCTTCTTTCCAGTTAAGCACCAGCAAACCGAAAGTAGATATGTGGCACAAAGTGGTAGAGGCCTAGTCTTGAGCAAAAAGGGCTCAAGGAACATGGGCAAGACTCAAGTTCAAGCTCTCTGACTGACTAAAGAAAGAAACTTGAAACATGTCTGACATGTTCCCGGGGTCACATGCACTTATACTTCAATACTCTGGATGCAGGAGTGGGTCCCAGGTGTCATCCTTTCGTCAACACGGAGCCCACATTTCACAGAAGAAATACCAGGAAGATGAACCAGGTCTGCATTGGGATGTTGTGGGTTAAGAAGGAGGTGGATCACAGAGACAGAGAGGGGGTAATGTTAGGGTCAAATCCTATTCTAGAGTCACTTATGTGAACATATCTTCCCCAGTCCATAGACAATCAGGATTCCTCCTCACTTGTCATAAACCAGGACAGACTCTGTGAGGGGAGTCGAAGTGAGAAACCAACAGGACTTGGGGGTGAGGGGCCTGGAACTCCTGTTCTTTTCACTGTCCTAGCCCATTCCTATTCTTCCTGTTTCTTTGTTATGCAACCGGGTTCAATCAAGAATCCCTGCTCCTAAGGTGATACCTTACCCAGAGTGTGGAACCTGGGGTCTCTCCTGCAGGCTGCGCCTCTCCAGTGGCAGTGAACATAAGTGCTCACCTCTTCTCTCAGGATGTGCATGGGAGGGCGGGTCGTTTCTGAGATGCACATGGGCACTTCAGAGCTGCAGAGGGCTCCTTAGATAGGGGTCCAGGAGGGCCGCAGCTGAGGTCGTCTCCCTCAAGAGCAGTGATTTTCCCTTCACCTGGGGTGGCAAGCCAAGTTGCCAGTAAACTTTTTCTTTTCCCCCATGTGACAATTATCAAGACACTTTTCACGTTCTCATGGGTGTTTCTCCAGGGGACAGGGGAGGGGTGCAGTCGCTTATCTCTCCTGGATCCCAGCAGGCCAGGAGGAGACACTGAGGCTCAACTTGATATTACTTTCTGGAAACAATATCAGCAGTATGTAAGTCATGTGTCCCCAAAGTTTCTTACCCAAAGTGCCCTTCCTTTTTTTTCCCCGTTCAGAGACTAGAACTCAGGGCTTGGGCACTGTTCCTGGGCTGCTTTTGCTCAAGGCTAGCACTCTACCATTGGTGCCACAGCACCACTTCTGGCTTTTTCTATGTATGTGCTTCTGAGGAATTGAACCCAGGGCTTCATGCATGCTAGGCAAGCACTCTACCACTGAGCCACCTTCCCAGCCCTCCTCATCTCAGTCTCCTTTTGTTTTATCATAATATATGCTGTTAGAAAAGAAAAGTGGATGCCTGTACTGATGCAAACTCCAGAGCCTGGTATTAGAGAATCAAGGTTCAAAGCAAGCCTGGTGAAGAAAGCCCATGAGATTCTTATCTCCAATTCCTATCTCCACTCTCTGGTGGTAGAGTGCCAGTCTGGAATAAAAGAGCTCAGCAACAGCATCCAGGCCCAGAGTTCAAACCCCTGGACTGGCACAAAAAAAGAAAGAAAATAGAATGAGACATTCCTGTACAGGAATTTCTTTGGCAATAATGGCCCTTTTCTTCTAAAAATGTTTTCATCCTTAGAGACCCCATTTGGAGATTAGAGGTAAGCATTTCATGCATATTCCTGAACGCAGGGTAATGAGTGATCTCTTTTCATGCCTGGTTGTTTCTGAGGAGGTAGCTTCATTCTCTAATTCCCTACTGATTTTCATCATTAGTAGTGGTGATTTTGAAGCAGAAATTTGTCAGTCTGCTCAGGAGAGGATCAGCTGTGACTCCTCACCCTGGGTTTCTGGTCTACCTCATTGCATGGACTCCATTTCTCACCTGGACCCTTCTGGACTTGCTGACAATTCCTCTGCCACATTCTTGTCTGTTTCAAGAAAGTGCATTAACCTTTCTGTGTCTGACTTCTTGCATTTTGCACAGCGATCTGTAGTTCTACAGATGTGGCAGCACATGACACCATTTCCTTCTTGTTCCTGGCCTACTCGTACTTTGTGATTGAAATACACTACATCTTCTTTTTTTTTTGTGAAACATCTTTTTATTAAACAGCGAAACAGAAATGCAACAGAATTTTAAATATTTGTACATTTAAGTCACAAAAGGGATTCAAAATGTTTGCAGTGTGACTATTACATCTTCATATAGTTAAAGTCATTTATGAAATCATATACTAACACATAAGATTATCCAATGATTAAAGTAGTTCAAATCTAGTAACCGTAAGCTATATTAGTGGATCTCGTTTCCTAGTATAATATGTTAGTATTACCTCTGATATTTTTTTGGAGCCGACAGTAAAGCTCTAAGCTCATCTTGACCCCTGTGCTCACTTGAAGGCACGTATAAGGAGCTGGCTTACTTAAAAAACACCAGGTGCCCGGGATTGCTTTGCTATGTCTGCAGAGTTTGTTTTACTTTCTACCAGTGGACCTTGTCTTGTTTTACTGCATCTGTTTTTATTGAAATTTTCCTTGTTTTTCTGGACTATTATAACCTTATGTTACCTCTTGACTTCTAATAGTATATATTAGGGAAAGTTAAAAATAAACGATGCTGTAGTCTTGAGCTGCAGACCTCCTGACCCCATCATTTGTCTTATGTCTTTATTTTTCTTGTCCTTGCTCCCTAATTCAGGATTCCCTTTCGTTGCTGGCAGGCTCCGGCATGTGGCGCCCGATTCGGGACCTGAAAACCTGGGATCAAGGCAGAGGACCCCGCTAAGGTAAGAGGACGCGTCCAGAAAAAGAAGAGTGGGTGAAAGTATAGTTGGGAGTAAGAAATTATGGGGCAAGGTAAGAACCGCACATCATATGTGCAGGCTCTTAAGGGCATGCTTCAAGTTCGAGGAGTGAAAGTTGGACAGAGGCAGTTAGAGAGTTTCATTCGCTTTGTCAAGGAAGTATGTCCATGGTTCCCAGAGTAAGGAACCCTTAGTTTAGAAACTTAACAAAAAAAAAAAAAAGGAAGAAAGAATTCAGGGACACTATGATGCAAATGGCCTGTAAGTTAAAACATTGCTGCTTTGTGATTCTCTGGTTCTGTGTAGCCTGCAGGTTCTGTATTGGGTTTGGCTAGAGTCTTGGCAGACGCACTATAAGACAGCCAACTGCGCCTCGGGGAGACGTCTCCCAGATCCCCATCAGGGTAAACTATCCACTAGTGCTGACATTTTGGCCTGTCTATAGTTAGGCACTTTCTGTCTGACAGTCTACAAAGCACATGTTGTAAATGTGTTTTGTCTCAATGTTTGTGTGTATGTATTTTGGAATTCTTGGAATGTTTCTTCTCTCAGATTCATCCTGAAGCGAGAGCCCTGAGGAGGCTGGCTAACACCCCCTTTTAATATCTGTTTCTCTCTAGTTCCTTCTTTTTTACTTATACTTTAAACTGACCCCCCTTTCTACCCTTCACTGCCACCTCCTCACCCTCTCTGGATCCAGAAGTAGGGGAGCGATGGGGGGTGAAAAACCTGGAGGATCTAACAATAACTTAAAAGGGCCAGCAGGGAGAACTTGCAGCCAGATGAAAATGCAACTGACCATCTGCAAGTGACACCAGCAAGATCTTAGCCTGGGGCCTTGGCCCAGGGGGTCAGAGTATTGGGGAGAACCTGTCAGTCTGATGGGACGACCACTAGGGACTTCTTTCCCTTGCCCCAAGATGACTGGGAATTCTCCACCTTGGAAGGCCCCTGCGTCAACGTTTGCAGGAATCTAAAAGAAAAATCCTCCAGAGGTGAGTAGAGGGGGTTCCAGTCCCCTGGTAAGTAGATTTGAGTCCCACTTGTGAATGGTAGTGAGATGTTGCCCCATTCACTGAGAACTGATTTTGTCTTTGTGGCCACTTGCCTGTCTTGTTTACTTCAGTGTGTTTTCTGTTATGTTTTCTGAGGTAGGGATAAACTGGGGGCCCATTAGCCCCCCAACTCAGCGTTTGGTTGTTGTCTTGTCTAGTTCTGTTTTAGAATTGGTACCAGTTTTAAATGTACATACAACTGATTTTGATTTTTGCACGGTTTAAGATCTGTGTGTGTTTTGTATGTGTTTGTGAACATGTTCAAGATAAAAATTATCAGTGTGCTGTAACAATTGGGTAAGTTT